GAGGGACCATGGAATTACTGTCGATAGGACATTGACAGTATTTGTATTCGATATCGCCTAGATCAGTGTTCGAATAGTTTGAAATGTAAAATTCCAGTGTGAAACAAATTGCATAGCCAACACTGTACGAAAAATATTGGAAATCTCGAACATTCATGCACCTCTGCTTAGGCCTTGGCTAGCTTCTTTATACGGCTGGTTATGTGGTCAGTGTTTGTGCACTCTTGTGGCTTCAACACATGGGACACTGCCTTGCACAAGCAGTCGGTCATATTCAATGTTGTTGTACTGGCTAAATGTTCTAAGCAAATCAGGATTTGTCTGCAAGCTATTTAGGGTGGAAGCCAATAGTGTCCCTTAGTCTTTTGAAAGTCGTCGACTGCTCCCTATCTGTTTAAACATACCGCTTAGGCCACTGTCAACACAGAGTATGTAATTAAGGGGAGACGCGGAAAATTTTCGCTTTTTTTTTTTCCGGCTGTATTGGCATCCTTGGACTATACTATTACTTCTGAAAATATCAAGCTGAAATTCGCACGAGAAATTATCAAAAAATGCTTCCAAGTGGGCAGCGGTGACGCGAGAAATGCGCGAAAGTCGCGAAAAACGGCGAAGTTCGCGCCGTCCTGTCGCGAAAACAACGCGTTGGCCGCCATTTTCAATCGTGCACGCATGCTGCGAAGGCCGTATCCTTCATAATCCACTAGTAGCCAGTCTCGTGCCTTCACGCAGAATAAACAAAAAACGAGAAAAACAACGCGTACGTCACGCGTTTTGAATATCGCGGCACACAGCGCGAGGCCGCCATTGGACGGCGGTGCGCTCCATGCTCCTCCCCCTCCTATCTCTCCGGCAAAAGAGCGAAGCCTCGGACGTCGCGATCGAGTTTTTCTGCATTTCTCTGCATTTTTGCGTCATGGCAAGCCCGAAGAAGTGCAGTTCAGATAATCGAAAGTTCAGAATTCGCCACAAGTATCGAGGGAAACGGCGTCGGACACTTCGCAAAGCGACAGCGAACTACGATGTCGCCCCCGACCAACGCCCCGCCCCGACTTCGGATAGGCCTAACACCGTCACCGAACCCTGCGACAGTGGTTGTGAAATAGCCGCTGCCGTGGAATTCGTCAGTGCATCCCAAAGGAAGATTGGATTCTTCGAGAGTGAACGCAGACCGGTAGATGCTGCTACTGCGAACATGCTGCTTTGCGAAATCGATGCGCTGACGGCACTTGTGGCGGGTGCGCAATGCCCAACCTGCCGCGAACGGAAGCTCGGCGTGCGAGAGGCAGCTGGAAAGCGCAAAGGACTTTCGGCATTCCTCGAACTTTGCTGTCAAAATTCTGATTGCCCTGAATCTGCACTTTCGTTCACGCACACGTCGAGACGTACTGCTTCGGCCGGGGACCAAGGAACGAGTGCTCGTTTTGACAGCGGCAGCTCGCGTGACAGCTTTGCTGTAAACGCGAAGGCAGTTCTGGCAGCATGCGCTATAGGCGCAGGCCACGACCAACTTTCACGATTTTGTGCGATTCTCGGTCTTCCGAGCCCGATGCATCGCAAGACATTCAACGGCATTTGCAAGAAGCTCCATGGTGCGGCGATGACGGCAGTGAGCAAAAACTTGCACCAGGCACGAAACATCACGAAGGACGCAGTCGGCGGCAGAGATGTGCCAGTCATGTTTGATGGCACCTGGCAGAAAAGAGGTCATAAAAGCCACAATGGAGTGGGCACAGTCGTGTCCCTGGACACGGGGCTCTGCCTCGATTTTGAAGTTCTTTCGAACTACTGCCATGCTTGCAGTATACACAGGGACCTTGGGGAGGATGAAGAGATATGGCGAGCTTTTCATCTTCCAGTTTGCCAAAAAAACACTGACTGCTCATCCCATGCAATGGAACCTGCGGCAGCTGTCAATATATGGCAGAGGACCTTGTCTTATGAAACTCCACTGTGATTCACCAGCTTCCTAAGTGATGGTGACAGCAAGGCCTACACTGCAGTCTGCGAGGCAAATGTATACTGTGACACCCCCATTGACTAAGAAGAGTGCACGAACCACGTTGCAAAGCGCTTGGGAACTGCCCTACGGAAATTGGCAACACCACTGCCACGAGGCGAAAAACTGAAAGATGCGACAATAATAAAACTACAAACATATTACAAGATCGCCATCAGGAGCAACAAGGACAGTGTCCGAAATATGTACACTGCCATATGGGCATCGTATTTTCATTGCTGCTCCAGTGATGGTGCCAGTAGCCACAACTTTTGCCCCGCGGGACCAAATTCGTGGTGCAAGCACAAGCGTGCAGAAGCACTGGGGAGCCTGCACCACGCCACACCCCACTGTTGACGAAGGCTCAAGGATTGGCAATTATGCCTATCTACAAGCGCCTTACAGAGGAGAAACTCCTTATTCGGTGCCTTCATGGCAAGACACAGAATGCAGCCGAATCGCTGAACAGCAAGATATGGCTGCTATGTCCAAAAACAAAGTTCGCCTCCAGAACAACTGTGGAGACAGCCACCGCTCTTGCTGTACTCTGGTACAACAAAGGCCACAGGGGCTTTGAAGAAGTGCTCGAAGGCATTGGAATTCTCCCCTCACAAGATCTGGCCACACATGGTGACCACTGTGACGTCATGCGCTTCAGGAAGATGAACCTGAAGCAAACTGCAGAAGCGAGGGCACACCGTCGCAACACAGCGAAGAGAGCTCGTGTTGAGGACACTGACGGCAAGAGCCGTGAAGGGCCAAGCTATGGTGCAGGGGACTTCTAGACACTTGCAGTGCATTCAAGGCAAGGTACTTTTCATTGTGCCCCAATTTGATGCAAAAAGAATGATTTCCTAATAAATGCCAACTTTGCGAACTTTCAAACTTGTTTTTCTCATTTTCATTTTTTCTGACAGTTTCACGTTTTCCGGGCAGCCTTTTAGAAACTTATATTCATTGTATAGTAACGAAACTTGGCACACATATTCTTCAACACATGCAGAATGCAAATATCTACTCTAAATTGCAATGCCTACCAGCATTAGTTGTGAAAGTATTAGCTTATTGTTTCAAGGGAGATTGAAAATAATAAGTCATTCAATACAATTTTTTTTTCTTGGTTCCAATATTTCTGTGACATATCTATATAGATATTTGCACTTTTCAATCTACCAAGAGTCAAATAAGATTAGACACAGTGCTTTTACTGAAAGTTTAGTACATAAAAGAGTGCCCGCAAAAAATGTAACTTTTTGCTATTGTTTATGGCATAACTCAATAATTATAGCAGCTACACAAAAAATGATTGCATATTTGAAATCTGCATGAAAAACTATACTAATAACAAACTTTTCAAGTCTCTATTACTAGAAATAAAAAAAAAACTTTTTCGAGGAGCGTCTCCCCTTAAGATGCACTGCATGGACTACCAGCCAGCGGGGTTGGTGAGCCAGCTAAATGTCTATACAGCCGAACCCCGCTACAATGAAAAATTCTCGGTTCCCCGTCAGCACTCCATAGGCGTCAATGCATAAATATTCTTGCCACAGTGAACACTCTTTCTTCTACTGTTCCGATTGAACATTTTGATGCATTTTTAGGACATTAAAATATGTCTAAGAAGTCTAAAACGTGTGTTGGCACCACCGGAAACTGCCACCGTTTACTAAACATGGAGGCTGCCAGTGCTCGATAGCCATGTCAGTGAGACAGACCTCCCTGCTTTTGCCTCTGGCTTGCTTCTGAGCCACAGACAATCTGAAGATGAAGCCTAGTTTCCTACATGCTGCTGCTGGGTGCAGTCGCAGAATGGCGCCTTTTCGATGCCAGTGCTGTCAATTATTTTTGCACTTGGCCACTCTGGTCACAGTGGCTGTTCGTCTGCATTATCAACAAGATAAGCTAGCCACTACTAGTAGATGATAAAAATATCATATGATAAGGCATAAGTCACCGCTCCACATACCACGCCTGCATCTCGGCGTTGTTGGATACCTTTTGATGGCGCACAGCTGCTTGTGTTAGTGTGTTAGTGCAACTGCTAGGTTCATTCAGGGAAGCTGTTGTGGCCGTTATTTTAGTGTGCTTTTCAACGTGGTGTGACTATGCGTGTGTGATAATCGCATTTAGACACTGCTCTGGATGTGAGAGCAACGCGTCTAGACGCTGTGAAAAAAAAAAAAGGTAATAGCCGACATTTTTCTAATGTTGGCAATAAAAGTTCTTCATTTTGCTAGCTCAAGTCAGCTTTTTTTTTTTTATTTCACTATTACGGAAATTTTTTCCACGCCCCATCAATTTTGTTGTAGCGGGGATCGACCTTATAACAATGTCAATAAAATTGGAAATGTACTTCATATTATGAAAACCTGCTTGTTCCAAGATATTAATCTAACTGAAGTATATATATGGATTCTTATTAAAACAAGAGGAGCTGCAGGATTGTAGTAATGATGGGGCTGTACATAAAAAAAACTTCAATAATGGGCACAACTATACAAAACTTTTCGATCAATCTAATCCTTGGGGCCGCCTAGGCCCAGGCTGCAAATTTGCCGGAGCTTTTAATAAAGTTACAGCCACATATTAATGCAGTAAGGGGTTTGCAACAATAACTTCCTTATAAAAGATTTACGTTAACTAGGCTGAGCCTTTATTGTGACACTCAATTTCATATAATTGCTACACTGCTAGACATTATCTCAGGCTGCAACTTGGACATGGAAAATTAAATTTTATTTTTGTGTGTGTACTTTCCAGGCACCAGTGTAGAGAGGTTGCTTTTTTTCATTCATTCCTAATTTATTCACATGAATACTAGAAATTGCAGAAAAGAAATTTTTGTATATTGACGCTTGTAAACCATTAGCTGTAAAAAGAAGGTTTATTATGCTACCGATAGCAGTCTTACTCAGTGTGAAGCAGTGGAAATAATATAATTTATCAGTGCAAATGACAATTGAATGCAAATGACTAAAGTGTTGTCTTCTCATTTTTTTAGTCACTACCATCAGCCCAAACATTGGAGTTATGGAATATGCTGACCATCGGCAGGTAAGTTACTGTCAGGTCATCTGTTGCCGTGCATTTGAGTACGTAGATCTTATAGATTTATTTATTTATTATATCTGATCATTTATTTACATAAGGGGTAAAGAGATAACCCAGTCATACAACATTTTGCTGCTTAGCTTAAAGTCATGTGTTAAGTTGTGGATGCAGTGGCTGTGTTTCAATGCAGTCTAAATCAGAACTTGACCCTATTTTGTGCATTTGACACATGCTGGAGTCTCCCATCACAGTTTGCCTCATAATGAAATCGTGTTTTTTCGCGCACACCCCACAAAATGACATCTACATCTTTCATCACATTTTTTGTATATGCTTGCTCTGACAAAATTGACTTTTCCAAGCAAAGCATGAAAATCAAGCATTTCAGTGAAACGCTGGCGTATTTGAGCATGGAGGTATTTTCAATTCATACTGTTAAAAATATTATCGAGTCAGAATACTGTTGTTATTTTTTGTTTGTCAGTGTGCACATTGAACACTCTTTGTGTGGCCTGCAATTTGAACTTGGAGCAGCTTTTATAAACTGTTGTTTTGCATTTTTGCAAGTAAAGAAATAAAAGAAACCTTAGGCCATCTTTTCGGTTTAGAAGCCCGTGCTTTTGACCAGTTCACTACTTTTTTACTTTGTGTATATGTCGTCCTCTTTCAGACGGTGTAAAATTGATGGCTGTAGCGTTTGTTTCTTCAATTGAAATATATTTGCCAGGTTATTGCTTTTACTTGTGAATACTTCCATTGAAAAATGTCTTTTGATGAAAGCTTGTGGGAACATAACTATTTTGGTTAAAAGGTTAATCGATATAAATGGTTTCAACTAAACATTGCATTTCCGAAATTCACTAGAATCCTTGATGCTGCAGGCAAGGCATTGGATTTAAAAAACAAACAAGAAACTATTAACAATAAAATATTTGTTGTGTGGTATCCAGTTTGTTTTTTTTTTTCAGTAGGATCTTATTCATTTATCTTTAAGCAAAAAGGTATGCGTGTTCGTATATTTTGAAACTTTAATATTTTCCAAATGGTGTTTGCAATTAGATTTGTTTCACTTTGAAATTTTCAAACTATTCAAACTTGCTGAAAAATAGTCGTCAGATTGGCAGGTGCCCCTTCAGACTAACAATATGCTTCATCCCATGACTCTGTTTTTTGCTGCGGCAAAGCTGCCTTTCAAGCACTGCTATGGTTCGCAAGTGTATTGCATCAAGAAAATCCTGGTTCCAACATGGAGATGATAGGTTTGGCTTTGGTGGGGGCTCAGTCATAGGTGTTTTGGACCAGAAATTTAGGCAAGAAGTCCAAAAAATTGAATGCCGAAGATTTTTAGCATCCGAAATTTTAGATGTTTGTATATATGTAACGATGTCTTCGGGGAAGATTTGAGCTCCGGATTAGAAGGGTGCACGCCCTTGTCTATGACATCAATTAGCCTACTGTACAAAGAGAAGTAGAGGCTGAGAAAATGGCACTTTTTGCCATTCAAGGGTAATGCGTTGTTGGCAACACTTTAGTTGTGCCAAGTCATGTACGTAAATATAATTCGCTCTTTGCATTTGCTCATTCTTGTTAAGATAGCTATGGAACGCCAACTTGCCAGCACTTCATCAACCTAGCCAAAAGAAATACGTTCATGCTACTATCTCAAGAATATGCTAAAAATCTTCTCCAATTTTGAAATGAAAGGAAATGAAACGTGGCAATATCAATGTCTCTTATTAAGAGGCTCGACTGTATCTGGGATCCACTGTACATACACAAGGCACGGCAACATAATTATATATTTCCTTTTGAAATTGCGCTTGCAGAACATTAAACTCGAGTGAAATATAGATGAGCGAACAGAAAGAGCTTGGACATTTAAAAGTAATAATAAAGCAGAGAGCTTATTTTGGCAGCACTGTTATAAACAACATATTTCAGTGACCAGACTGTGAAAAAAAAGCAGTAAAGGGACCTAGCTAATGAGCAGGATATTATTTGCAAGCTATTTGGGGAGCAGTAAATTTTATTAACGATAATGGTGAGATTGACACAGTTGGAGGTAGCCACTGGGGTCACAGCCCATAACGAACGGTTGTTTTACATGTAAAAACACATGTGTTTAGACATATATCTCGACTCTATGGCAGATCTCCCTTGCTGACCTGCCAGGGCTGATTGAAGGTGCTCACCGCAACTTTGGTTTGGGCCACAAGTTCCTCAAGCATGTTGAGCGTACCAGCATGCTGCTTTTCATTGTCGACATCAATGGTTTTCGTCTCAACAGTGCATCGTTGCACCGGAGTGCCTACGAAACGGTTATGTCCTTGAACAAGGTCAGAAGCTTTCCTGTTTTGCTGCAGTTTCTAATGTTCCCGTTTCTTTCTCATTCATGTTCCTGATTCATTTTTTTTTTTCTCATTGAAGTATATAGTTCCCCATATACTTGTCAGCGGCACTCGAGTTCGCACAGCTGAATTCTCCGGCAGCGTCTCATTCTCCAGCAGCGCCTCCTTCTCCGGTGGCGTCTCCGTGCTTGCTCGGGAAGCGCTGCACTGCGTTAACGTGGACTCCGAGCCCTGAGCGCGTCCACTCGACGCGGTTGCCCATCGGTTCAACGAACATTCAAAAAACAAAAAAGTGAGCCTTCGAGCGAGACCGCATAGCAACGCATTGCCAGAGAGGGAGAACGAGCCGAGATTCGAGCCGGGACCGCAGAGCAACGCACCGCAGAGCGAGCCGAGACGCGAGTGGCGTCGGACGTATCTTATCGAGCTCCTGCACCGAGTCCAGTTTCCTTATACTTGTAACCACTGCCGATTCACCTGTAACATAGCACAATACAGTTTTTCTTAAAATTTGAACCTTGCCTTGACTACATTCATTCGGACATCGCTGACATGGCGCAGCCGACAGGATGTGAATCGACCGACCTGCATGCGGAGGAGGAAACGACGCCACGAGAAGGAGCGACGCCACGCCGTACATCGTCTCGGGACTCCGAAACGACCATCGTCGAAAGTGTGTTCACGACCCTCGACCACAGCAGGATGGCCAATGTAACGAAAAAGCAACTCGTCGACGAGCTGAGAGCACGAGGTCTACGGTGCTCCGGACGAAAGGACGAGCTCATCACAAGAATCATCCGCGACAACATCACTCGCCAAGCCCTAGAGCCGACGGACTCGTCAACGAAGGACCAAGCTGCCTACGACGACGACAGGCAGGCGCACCTGGAGACGCTGTCTGCCGACAACGCGAGGCTTTGCGCTGAACTGAGCAGCCAGCGAGCCCAGCTTAACCGTGCGACCACGAGTGAACGTGAGACATTGCACGAAGCCCATCAGAACGCTTCACTGCCAACGGAACGGGTGACGACTCCAACCCTCGGGCTGCACCATTCCGCCCCTGCTGACATAACGATGTCCTCGCGTTCGGCGCGGCCACCGTCACTGAACGACGGCACCAACCAAGACGCGGCACGCCCCGCCCCGCCGACCGTTTCAACGCACGAGGGAGAACCTTCCATAGCCCAGATCCTCGCCGCGCTCGTGAACACACAAGCCCTGCTCGCCAACACGCTGTCGAGAGGTCCACCGACGATGAGCCCGATCCAGATTCATTCCACAAGCGACACGTCATCCTCAATCCCCTTGTTCGATGAGACGCCGCAACAAAGTACTCATGAATGGATTACGCAAGTGGAGAGAATCGCAGCGCTCGCCCACTGGACGCCATCGCTGACGTTGGTGACAGCAGCAAGCCGCTTGATGGGATCTGCCAAGGATTGGCACAGTGCCTACGGCTCACAGTATGACACCTGGGAGCAATGGAAGGAAGCGCTCATTCTCCGATTCAAACGAAAGCTGACAATGCAGGAGTTCCTCGAACTGCAGACGAAGCGACGCCTTCAGAGCCACAAGACCATCGTCGAGTACATGTACTCGAAGAACGCCATTCTGAACAAGGCGCCGTACCGTTTAGCAGAGAAAGAACGTATTTGCCTCATTCTCTGCGGCATCGAGGACGACACATGGGCCAACCCACTCGCAGCGCAGCTGTGTGGCACAGTAACCGAACTCATTGACAGAGCGGCTTTGCTCGACGTGAGGCGTCGCACGGCCGTGTGTGCCGAGAACGACAAGAAACCATCATCGTCTACAGCAAGCCGTGGTCAGGGTTCGAACCAGCGGGTGCCAGCCAGCAGCTCTGCCAACTTGCCGAAGGCCAACTCTCGCAGTGATTTCTCGGCAGCTCCACACCCGCGGCCCATCTCTGCTCGTTCGTGCTTCAACTGCGGCGACATCGGTCACCTGTCCCGTGATTGCAGAAAGCCGAAAACGCCAGCAACGATCAGAGCGGACGAGAAACGAGCGAAGAGAGCCAATAGCAGCCACGAAACAGGGACTACGTCACCTAGGCAAGCGAACTGTTTTTTGCATTCGACGGGCGGCACATTACCAATAGTGTCCGGTACTGCTAACAACCGACCCGTCCGCGTGTGCATTGACAGTGGCGCCAACTTATCCATCATGAGTGCCAATGCCTTGACGGACGACATTCCCACGCATGCATGGGTATCTCACGAGAACATTGAAGTTCTCAACCGCAGCATATGCCCAACTCTCGCTGCAACGCTTGATGTGACACTGGGCACCACGAATGTGCGACTCGAGGACGTCGTGGTAACGGAATTGCCCAGCGGCATCGACCTGATTCTGGGATCAGACTGGCGACGAGTCACGAACGTCGACGTAACGTTTCACACGTCAAACGATGTGACTATCGTTCCAGTCGAGCCCTCCGGAAAATTTTCATCGTCCGAAGTGCCACCCCCGAAACAAGGCACACCACACCGCACCGGGGAAACGCTTATTGCGACGTTCTGCCGGCAATCGGACGAGAGTGTTTCCAAAGACGAAGGGTACGTGCGCCTCAACACGAAATGTCCCGCACCCGACGAAGACTTCACGAGCCTAGTCGAAGACGTTACACGGAAGATAACGAAGGATGCCACCGAGGCAGAGAGGGAACAACTTCACGCAATTCTGTTAATGCATCACCAAGCGTTCACTTCCAAAGGCGACACTTTGGGCGTGTGTCCTCACACCGAGCACAGCATCGAACTCAGAGACATTATACCAGTGTCATCGAGGCCGTACAGGTGCTCACCGGCTGATCCCAAGTTCATCCGAGAACAGGTGAATGACTACCTCTCCAAGGGCATCATAAGGCCGAGCGAAAGCGAGTACGGTGCTCCAACGATAGTCGTCGACCAACCGCACCACCCGACGACTCCACGAAGAATGGTACACGACTATCGCAAGCTCAACGAGAAAACCATCAACCCTTCTTATCCAATGCCCGTCATGGAAGACGTTATTGACGATGTCATGCGTGACGGATCGGCTTACTTCACTGTGTTGGACGTGAAGACGGCATTTCTGACTATACGAATGAAGCCGGACTACGTACACAAGACCGCATTCGTCACTCCAGACGGAAAGTACGAATACCTTCGAATAGCCTTTGGGTTTTGCAAGGCCCCTCAGACCATGCAAAGAGTCATGCGTCGCACGTTCGATGGCTTACCTAGGACAGCTACGTACATGGACGATGTCGGGCAGGGAGCCACAACAGTGAGGGAGGCTTTGGATTTGCTGAACGAAGCACTCAGGAGAGTCGTGATCAACGGCTTGAAGATGGATCTCCGGAAATGCCAGTTGATTCAAGACAAAGTATCTTTCCTGGGTTACGTGATCTCCGCCAAAGGACGAACACTGGACGAATCCAGAGTTGCCGCTGTCGAGAAGTTCGAGCCGCATCGCAACGCAAAGAAGCTGTACTCCTTCTTGCAGTTCGCTAACCACTATCGAAAGTTCATACCGGAGTTTGCAAAGGTCACGCACAAGCTACGGCGCCTTCTGGCGAAGGACGTTCCTTTCGTATGGACTGATGATGCTCATGAAGCAACCGTCAACGCCATAAAACACGCCTTGAAGAACCCACCGATTTTGGCGAGCTTCCGCCCAGACTGCCCGACTAACGTTCACGTCGACGCTTCGCAAACCGGGCTGGGTGCGGTGCTTTCTCAAACTCAAGACGGAAAGGAGCGAATCATAGAGTACGCAAGCAGATCACTAAACGAGCACGATCGTGGTCTACACTCTAATATGCTTGAGTGCATGGCGCTCCACTGGGCGATCACTGAGAAGTTTTCGGTCTACCTGAGAGGAGGCCCTCGTTTTACAGTGTTCACGGACGACTTCAGCTTGTCATACCTCGTCCAGAAGGGAGCCAGCAACCGCAGATTTGCGAGGTGGACGCTCGACTTAGCAGAGTACACCTTCGACGTCAAGCACAAGCCAGGACGCCAGAACTCCGCTGCTGACGCACTCTCGAGGCAGTCGGAATCTGCAGAGGCTTTCGACCAGGGCGTTTCGACCCGAGACCTCCACTGCTACGCAGTAGTGGTCGGCAAACACAGTCGCCTACGCGAGTTTCAGGAGAGGGATACTGACTGCAAAAGATTTCGGGAGGAGGCCAAGCACAAATCTTCAGACTACGAGATCGAAAACGACATACTGGTGAAGAAATCTCTCGAGAGAGGACGGGTCCGTCGGAGGGTGATCATTCCCGCTGCCCTCCGAAGCAGTGTGATGATCGTTTTCCACGACAACAACGGCCACCTAGGCGTCGAGAAGACAAGAGACCTGATCCAGCGAAAGTACTGATGGCCATCGATGAGAAGGGACATACGCGAGTATGTTGACTCCTGCCACACGTGCCAGACTATCAACGCCCGCACGACACGGAATGAAGGTTGCCTCACCCCTCGCGATATTCCTACTGAGCCAAATGCGGTGATATCCCTGGATCACATGGGTCCCCTAAACGAGAAGGGAGACCACATCCTCGTGTGTATCGACCACGCCACGAGATACATGGACGCCGTGACCGTACCGAGCACTTCGTCGACGCACTACCTTGACTTCATGACAAACCGGTGGATTCCGCGATTTGGAGTTCCCAGCGTCATTATTACGAACCAAGCCAAGGGATTCGTGAACAAGAAAACCAACCAATTCCATCGCAGACTGGGAATTGCTCATCAGAACTCCCCACCGTGCTGGCCACAATCAAACGGACTGATCGAGCGAATGGTAGGAACATTGAAACAGGTGCTACGCAAAATGCTAAACAACAAGGACAAATGGCAGAAGGAACTACCCCGAGCAACGCTAGCAATCAACGCCACGAAGCATCGTCACAGTGGCCACAGCCCATTTCGACTCATGCACGGCTACGACCCAAAACTGCCAGGAGAGCTCAACCTCGCCTCAGTCAAGGGAGACATCGACGAGTCTCATAGACTACACGACTTGGCAACGGGACGTGCGGAGACAAGAGAGAGGCTACTGCAGAGTCAGCGCAAAACAACGGTCCGATACGACAAGAAGCGGCGAACTCCGAGGTTCATAACGGGGGACCTAGTCCTGCTTGAGTTGAGCGCTCGAGGCACATTAGACCTTCGCTATGAAGGTCCGTTCGAGATAACCGCCCTCGTCGGAGGAAACAGGGCCGAGATCCAAAGAGTACCCCACACACCGGGCATGATCAACCCAAAAATCGTCAACGTGGAGCAGCTTTGTAGATATAAGGAGCCGCTCCTAGAAGTTACGGAACCATCGCCATCTAACGACACGCATGCCTGAGGACAGGCGCAATTTTTGGGAGGGCCGTGTCAGCGGCACTCGAGTGCCTTCAGTTTTCCTTGCTTGCTTGCTTCAGTTTTCCGGGTGTGGACTTGGAGAGCGATGACCAGGCTGCCTTGAAGGTGTACGTGGGCTGGATGACCGGTAGCGCATAGGCGATGGTGACCGTGACCGGTGTTGGCGTAGAGTTGGCGAGTTCTGGCGCGACCCCGCACCTCCACCAGAAATGTAGCGATGCTGACGCCGACAGGTTAAAAAAACAAGCGTCTTTATTAGGGCGAACTTGTGCCCACGATTCTAAAAACTATGGTCGTCAAGTTCGAGTAGCCGAGTGGCACAGATCCGACTATCTTCCTCTTCCTCGTTGTTGGAACGTACGAACGCGTGGCGCATGCCAGCCGAGCCGGGTCTTGCTGGTGCTGGTGCCACGATGATTGTGGCGGGCTACTTGAATGTGGGGAACCTGTCGCAGCAATATCTTGGGCTTTTGCACCGTCTCAGGGTACAGTTTTCTTAACACTGTGCTGTGGAAGTCACGCTTATTTTGGGTAGTCTCGCGTAGTTGAGACGTGTGCACGAAGTTCTTCCGTCTTTTCCGCACCACAGTTTTTTATGCTTTCAGGAATTGGAACTGTACAAAGAAGACCTCCTCTCTAAGCCGGCGATTTTGGCTGTGAACAAGATGGACACCGAGGGGGCTAAGGAGAAGTATGAAGAACTTTTGGAGCAGCTCGAGAAGCAGGACAGTGAGTTATTTGTTTATTTACAAATACCTCTTTTAGTGGAGAGTGGTAATTTTTCATTAGTTTTCACCACTGCCTGCTGTCAGGCTTTCTCATTTAGTGGAAAGGCTTCTTGCTTTTTTGTAGCCGAATTGCAAGACACATTTTTCATTAAAAGTGCCCTGTAGCACTTTTAATAGTAGCCATGGAATGGATTCACTTAAGAATCTTATTGCCTCACGAATTCACCGCCGCAAAAAATTTTAGAGTCCATCTGGTACTAGCGGAGTTGCTAAGATTTGTTGCACTTTTCTCTCGTCCCGACGAAAGCGCTTGATGCTAAGCAGGAAGGGATGGATGGCTTGGGGTAAAAATTACATCATGCACATCATGTAACCACGAGCACTTTATCTCCTTTTTTTTTCTTCAAATGCACAGCTTTTCAGTATGATTGTGCTCGCATGCACACAGACAAGTCGCGGCCTCTCACGGCAGCCCCAGTAACGACTGAATGCACCAAACTCAAGTCAGCCAATGGCTGATATTTGGCCTGGAGCGTAGTGATTTAGAGCCTGTAGAATTTTCTCTCCAGAGAAGAGAGGGTGATTTTCAGCTGCTTCGAGAATTTATTGTGGGCCGCGTGCTGCACTACAATATCTGGCTCACATATTTTCGGGCGTCTCGAATACCGATCGGCAGATTTTTCTGAACTTGCTCAAAAAGTGTTGCCTGGCCTGTTTAACTCTTTCATTACTACGCCTATTCAAATCGATCACCGATGATCGACGCTTTTGGATCGTCTATTTTAGCATGTTAAAATTGTTTCCCGTGCACCCAACACTTTCTAATAGTTAGTCCAGCTACTCAACTTTCAGAATCAATTTGAATTTGCCCGTTTTGGCAACATAGTGAATTTTGACAGACTTTTGCACGAACCAATGGGCATGTATTGTTGGAAAAGTGCACTAGGCTGGCGAACTTGACCGCAGTGCGTGCCTCTCATGATTATGCTACAGTAACATCAAAGTTCTGTAATTAAAAGAACTTTTGCAAGCCAAGTATGGAATTGAAGTGTTAGCTTTGCAATTTGACTATGTTGAGCAGTAATAATTGCCAGCTATTGAATAGACAGCTCTTCCAAGGAGTCAGAGGAAATTTGGTCTACAAAAATATTTCCGAATGTCTACCGCATGTTTAAAGTGTTGAGGTGGCCTTCTCTGACAGTTTCCAACAGCCTTAGTTTTGCTTGCTTCGTTATATCAGACACTGGGCCTCATCTCGTGTCACTAGTCACTCCTATGATGTCGTCGTCACGCGCGCAATGGTGCGCACCAGGGCTGCAAAACACATGTGCTGCTCGAACTGTCTTGGTATCCATCTGAATTGAGTGAGGACGAGCTTAGAGTTCAATGATGACAGCATCCTCAGCTTCAAGTCTTATGGCGCCGATGTTTTGCGTCATCCTGGGACATCCGCAGCCGTTCATGGGTTTGTTTTGTTTGCATCCTCAAGTCGTCTTCTCCGCTGCGAGTGCGTGCAGCTACTGACATTTGTGCACAATCTTATAGCTACTGTCGTTACGTGAGAGATCCACACGTCGCTGGGGCGCAGTGTGGTGGCGCCAGCTGCAGAGCTTTTCGTCACGACAAGAAGGTCACAAGAACACATATTGGCCCTAACTACAGAGACGCGAAACGATTTTAAGACCGTGCGGGATATTGTTCTGTTCTTATTTATAATGTGCAAAAATGCAAAGAAATATGTTCGAATGGACATATTGGAATGCCAACCTACACGGAGTGAGGTGGCTCATGAAAAGAGGTGACGCTATGCCAAATGGCGAAGCTCATTGGACATCTCATTTATAGAAATATTGGAATACCTGAAGACTGTTATCGCAAGACAGTAAAATTTTACTGAGAAAAGTGTACGAGTGCACTTGAGTCTCACGAAAAACCATGCAATGCTTCACTGCATGGCACGAGCAATGAAGAAGCACCTCGTTTCTGATTTTCTTCGTCTATGGGAAGAAAAACATCTAGTACAAAATTAATTATTTTTATACTGTTCCTGGGTCAATTATCTACAAAATGAATATTCCGAATTTACTTTGTTTAGAATATGTATGCATATATAGTGTTTCTTTATTAGACTGTTTGCCAGCTGGCAAGAAACAATTGCACACCTTTCACATCTTTATTCAATCTAAAATAATTTTGTTGCTCTGTAACATAAATTTTTTTTAAATAGCATTTCATTGTGCAAAGTTTGGTATGCTGCAATGTTTGCTGAAGTACTTTTGAAACTGGCGAAAGGGGCTTTCTCGAGACTTATGAAAAAGAAGCTTTTTCGTGCGGTAACAAAAAAGTTGAGGAGATGCATGTCTTTCAAAACCAACTTTCTTGTTTTTGGTTGGATCTTGCTTAAAACGGGCACAGACACTAAAAATGGCCTCCTAGTGCTTCTATAAAATTTCAAGCTGATACCACAAAAATTTGATGAGAGACAAATGATTTCTTCACTGAACCTCTGGAGAGACTGCAGAATTTTTAAAATGAAGTAACAAGTTGGTAGATGCTGTATGCGCAGCCGAATTCATCCTGAATGAAAAAGGCAGTGTTTTCTAAATTGTTCTTTTGCGACACTAAAACTTGTAGTTCACGCTTTTCACAGCGACACTACAATGAGCACACTTGCAGTATTAACAAGAAACCCCACAAAAAATTAAAGTGAAGGAAAAAGTAAAAAGTAAAATGGAAAAGTAGGAACATAGCCCCCGAGGCTTAAAGGAGCATTACAGTATGAACAGAACAAAAATCTGGGAAGCGTTTGCCGAGATATTCGCTCCATGAGCTGAGCATGATGGCAAAAAGCAGCATTGAGTAAACACATTTAAGCGCCAGCTCGTTCTTTGCGATGTGTTTGCTATTATACATTGAAGCTTTGTGAAATATAAAGTTTAAAAGCAGTGAAGCGTACTAGGCCATGTCTCTCTGAGGCCTGAGCTCAACGTTGTAATGTTTTTATTGCAAGATTTGGTTTGCATTTTTTATCAAAATGGTTCAAAAAATACTCGGCCTCCAAAGGGTACATAGGTTGACAAAAATATACAACTTTGCATCCATTGTTACACCACTATCACATCAATGTGCTGTGCAGTCTTGCTGCCATTGTCATGAGACCATTGTCATCTCTTTTGTTGTGACACACTAATTCCATTTACCAAGACCGTCTGACAATGATTTCTGTCACAATCATCAGATATGATCATCAACATCAGCGGTACATTTCAGAGCTACTTTTGCTGGTTTTTTCCTTGAATTTCTGCAGTTTACATTTAATATCGTGTAATGACCTGTCGTGCTTGTGACCCGAGGCAGAGAAGTGTTATCCAGCATGTGTCAAGCTTTTAAGTTCTCTGACTGCCATAATAAGTCTTATCTAGCGCACACTTTTTTTTTTCATAAAGTTAGTCTGAATGTTGCAACACTGTGGATCACTGCAGCACAAGACAGTGCATTTTATCAAGAGTGCCCTGTTGTCATCCAACTTATTCACTGGCATGCTTTTTAATGATGCATGATTATGAGCATATCTAACTTATTGGTTTTCCTATGGATTTCAGCGTCTTCACTGGATGAAGACATCAGGCCATCAGTCTTCATGAGCTTTGACGAAATTATTCCCATTATTGCACGAGATGCCAAGAACACGCTCCAAGTGAAACAGAAGATTCGCACGTTCATCGACCTTTATGTTGAGCAACAGAGGAGAGCTGAAGAGGTTTCATTTGAACGGAAAACAGAAGGCCAAGTTTTAATTTAGTGTAGATGTAAAAATAAAACTTTCATTTGTATGGTTTAGCATTGCTGATCATGGATTGTGTCGTGCAGGTGGTTTTAATTATTATCTCAACAGGGGCATGGGAACGCTTGGCTTCGTGTACCGTCTCTGTATTCTGACGGCCAAGCACTACGAATGCGATCCAGTTTATTAGTGCATCACATTTAGTACAACGGCACTTCTTTCATTCAAGCTTCTTTCTTTATATATTTCGCTTGGTGATTCATTGAGTACTCTTTGCAGTTCAGTGTTCTCTTAGGCAGCATTGCGTTATCTGTAGCCGATAGGAGATAGCCGATTTAGAAATTAACATTCATCTACAAGCAATTTTACCTACTGCATCAGACATAAAAACTGCAGAATGCACCAATACCATGCAAATCCTTGCACTCCCAAGTATCTGGTAACCACACGCACAGCATACAACAGCTGTCATGCTTGGGTACAGTTGCCTGAGGTAGAACTAAAAAATCATATACAGTATGTAAGTCAGCGTATTTTAGTGCTGCATTCAATAGATGGTACGTATTGCTGCACTATAGCCTAAAAGCTTAGCCTCTCCAGCTAGTCTCTTCTCCACGATCACTCTTGGTGAATGCAGACCTTTAAATTTTCAGAAATTCTTAGTGAACTGAACAAGCCTAAGTACTCTCCTTATTTCTCTAATAATGTTGAGTGACCTTCCTCAAGGACAATAATAGAAGAAATTTTCAGAAACATGTACAAAGAAAGAAGAAAAGAAAGGGAGTGGGAGATAAAAGTAGATTTTCCTAATTCACAAGTGCGCTTCCCTTCATTGCATATTTGTCCGATGATGGCGGTACTGGTCATGCTTCAAGACAAGACGACATTCCATGTGCACGTGCTCAGACTTGTTTATTATGCGTGTTTATGTTAAGAGAGCATAGTATCCATTTCTCACGTTATAGCGCTAGCAAACTGAACTTGGACATGCTGTTTGCAGTAAGTGCCTAGTCATTATTACGAGGGCAAACTGCATAGGAGGAAAGCTAGCCTTACTTGTTTAGAAAAAGTTTATTTACAGCATGTACAGAACACAAAGGCTTCATACCATTCCAGCAACAGGGCACATACACTTCTGCACATCTATATTTCACGACTAACATCATTACGTCACAGTGAAAACATTTGCTCTAATATACATGATTATGTTGGCATACATGTACACAAAAATTCAATGTGATATCACAATACATGGGTATAAAGATACAATAGATCCAAATACAAGGATGAAGTTTTATTGCAGTAATAATGCTTCTAAATTTCTTACAGCACCTCTCCTACCTCAAATGAAACCACAATGCAGTTTCGTATACCAACCTCCAGTGACACCTTTGAGCTCTTCTAATAGTTTAAGGAAACCAGACAGATACTTTTTCAGAGGAAAATTGGATGCCCTAGCACCCAATTTTTTATTATAATCAGTAGTATCTGAGCTAATCCTTGTAATTTATAAATTAAATGGTAAAATTTTAGCACATTTGGTTGAATGCTTAATTAATAATAAAATATTTTTATATGCATGCAAGCAGAACATATTTCTAGATACCGTATATTCAAGGACATAAGCCCACACCTGTTGTGTTCGAGGATGAGGTCACATTGTAATGTAAAATGGTCTGAGTGGTTAGTAATTGTGCAGTAAACAAAATAATCATCTGCAAATTATCAGACACGAGAAAAAGTATCAGGGAATAGGTGGTTATTATATATTAAGAACAGGAGAGCGCCACCTTGCGGTACACCTGAAAGCACGGGTATGGCGATCAAGAGATGAGTTGGCATATGCAGATTGCTGACGTTTGGTTAAAAATTCTTTAAACCAGTTTATAACAGGAGTGAATGTCAAGACGAGATAACAAGACAACCATGGGGAACATTATTGGATGTTTTCACTAAAACCTAAAAACATTGTGTCACTCGGAATGTTCCAAGCTAGGCTATGTGTAAGTAATGCAGAGAAAGAGGAAGTTGAGTGTCACAGAAGTAAGTTGTGTGAAAACCATGCTGGATGTGGCTGAAAAAAATTTGCAGATGTTAGATATGTTTCGTTAATTTAGTGCAGGTGATTGTTATAGAAATCGGACAGCATTTCCGGCGATGCTAAGCTTCCTTTTTAAAGACTGGGATGACCTAGGTCACCTGCTGGTCATGTGGAATTGAACCACTGTGGAGCAATTCCTCAGATATGAGTCATAAAAACAGACCACACATTCAGTATTTTTACCACTTTAGCATTAATGTGATCTGCTGCCAAGGATGACAAATTATTTGATGACTTTGACAGTGCCAAATGCAATAAATGTTATGTTTCACATGAGCAAATACATTTGGAAAAGGGTAGACTGGGCAAACTGTAAGGTGGTTCGTTTGTGAAAACAGACCCGAATACTGTGTTAAGACAATCGACATATTCGTATTGAAGGATTAAAAGTCCAGAACCATTATTAAGTGAAATCTTATAAGACTGTAGAATTTAATTGTTTTTCAATATCGCTTAAGGTTAGTTTGTATCATAGCTTGTAGGGTATTAGAAAAAAAATTGTGCTTAGTTTCAATAGTTAGCATGTAATATTTTTTCTCGACTGCATGCATAATACTTTCTGCCATGTGACAGCATAATTAGCAAATTTTTTAATAATTTGAGGGATGCATGAGCATTGGGAAGTAATTCTTTTTGTTATACATGATGGTCAGAATTTGGATACGTACAGAGAAATGTATTTCTGCTTTGAAAAGCAACCACTTCGAAAATTTGGTAGAAAGCGAGACATGAAGGGGTCAAAGTATTGTGTCAATTCTCAGTTTTTGCATACGTTGTTTTTCTAATCTTAAAGATTAAGTATTTTTAATCATTTTATGATTATTTTTAATCTTTTACGACAAAGCTCTTTTGAAGGAACAATGATAATAGTGTAAGGTAGAGGCCTGATGATATCTCCCTGCAGTTTGTAACAACCACGCACTTGATCACCAATGCCTCTAAGTACAGATGTGAGTCGTCAAGTCTGCCTTTGGATTGCATATTGGGGGGAGAGCGCGAACGCAGTCCCCCACTACCAAAAATTGCATGCCCCATCTGCCCCAGTTTGGGGGAGTGGCAGGGGTCAGCACGAGCGCAGTGCAATGCCCGCGCCTCACCCTATTCTGATCACGGTAGCCCCGACACCAGGTAAGTATGCCCTTTTAGCGTTCGGCACAGATTGCGCACTGATCGCGACATCCTATGTCGCGCAAGTGGGGTGCCGAAGTCGGTGGAAGGTTTTTCTCAGTTTCTCTTGATATACGAAAGCCCTTTCAAGGAACGCGCCGAGTTTATCGATTAACTTAGGTCTGTTTAATTAAATTGCACTTATCTGTCACAAATGGCAAGAAAGTAATCAAAGTTTGAGCACATATTGATGCAGATTTTACATAACGAGTGAGAATGATACGCCACTAGAGGCGCCAGCGCTGTCGTCCTTTGCCGCTTCATCAAATGGAGGACGCACGTTTTTTTCTGACGCCATGTCCTAAGAATCAAGAGAAAATAAATGTGGGAAGGTGATTGCAAAGAAGAACAAGAACATTTCGAGAGCATCAATTCATAAAAAAACAGAAGTTAAAGAGTAAATGAAAAAAACTTGCGTCGGCCGGGAATTGAACACGGGCGACCCGCGTGGCAGGCGAGTATTCTACCACTGAACCACCGACTTTTTTTTCTTTATTTGCCTACTACTGAACCACCGACGCTTCCGTTTACTGTTATTGCCTTGCATATCAAGACTGTTCACCTTTTACATATTAGCATATTGGTCAAAATACAAGTGTGTCACAAAATACACCCACAGAATTTATTGAGGATTCGTCAGCTCTTAGCTGACTATTGATCAATACTTGGGCAATTGCTCAATGCGCCCAACCCAGTCTGGTACATCCTCTTGGCCCTTCAGCACTTCAAGAAAATGGCACACAGATTCGCAAAAATATTGGCGCACAGCTAGCACTTCTACATCCGCGTTTTCGAAGGCACATCGGGTTTTCCATATACTGTGCAGGCCCAGAAGCATGATGAGATTATAAGGTACACCTGCCCCGTTTTTAACCTAAAGAAAACGGATGCCGTGTGGACTTAAAATAATTCTTTTTTCAAGGTTCTTTGCAGTATGTCCCAGAAAAAAACCCCGCTCCAGCAATCTATAAACATGTGTTCAATTGTTTCCTGTTGATTACACAAGTGGCAATGTGTGCTCCATGGCCCGAATATTCCCCTATCCTGCAACCACGTTTTAACTGGTAAGGTACCAGTATGTAATTTAAAGAAGAAAGTTTTGACCCCTGGTGCTACAAGCATTCTTTAAACACGTTTCAGAACATCCTGTCCTAGGCCTGCACAATATAGCTGATAGTACAATGGTACAGGCAGTAAAACATCGACAAGGTCTTTGTACAATTTTTTACGTCAGAGGTTGGGGGCCCAGTTGCCCAACTGAGCATGCTCAGTAAGACTTTTTTTTTCCACATCCTTTATTCGGCCCAATCAAGCCGCAGCAGCTGCGAGAGCGGGAGCGTTGGTTCTCCTAAAACGTAAACGAAACCCAGGCTTTCCGCCGCGTTCGCGGCGTAACTGGGCCCCCACCCACTGACGTCACTGTGGCAGCCTTTTGGCCTTGAAATTTAGTCGGCGTTGATAGGAGCGTCTGTAGCAACGGCGCAGCGACGTCACACACCACGTGATTGCACGAGCTCCGCCCTCCGCTTCGTGCCTCGCGCAGCCACGACTTGCTCGAGATCGGCATGTCGTCATAGGTATAAATCCATCACAGGCATCAACCTCGACTGCAATACCTCCAACAACGAGTACAACGCAATCGAATGCGAGCATTGCACGCGTCGTTGAAGATGTCGCGCCGGTTGAAGACAAGGCAGCGCGGCGAAGGGCCCGTGATGCCGAGCGCAAGCGGGCATCACGGGCCCTTCGCAAGCGGGCGAAGCAGGCCGCGCACATAAACATCACTTTAGT